TCTTTTGCTGGTCCTCCAGCTTAAAAGATCACAGCAGAGCAAGTAATTCTGGTACTTTTGTCAACTTGATGCCTGTTTTCATGGTAATCACTGTACTGAAAGCAGCAAGGTATGTAGATAATGTCGAACCCTTCAGATGTCTGGTCTCTCTAAGATGACACAGATATTCCGCCACTTGACGATGAGTGGCTATCATCGCAGTGAAGCCTTTCCGCCTTGCATAAGTTTCAAACTTCAGCCATTTGTCGTCATATAGGTTACGAGTCGATCTGCGTAACGCTAGCGTTACTGCTTTGGCTGCCCTGGCGGAGTATCCTCTTTTCTTCAAGCATGTTTTGATACGGTCCACACGTGTAACTGGAATACTGTCGGGTTTCCATGGACTTGCTTGGTGTGTGGATGTATTAGTAGGTTCGGCCAATCTGGTAATTTTATTACTGGGTTTCCGAGATCTTCTATTAGGACTGGGGACCATGCTCTCGCTGGCCAGTAGGGCGCGACCAAAGTCAGTTGTAGCGGCTGAGTCTGTTTGATCTTGATCAGTACTTTTGGCAGTAGTATCGGGGGTTGAAAAGTGTAGCCGTTTAATCCTTCCCACGACATGCTCAGTGCATCTGTTGCCCAGGCTTGAGGATCTGGAACTGGCGAGACAAACGTCTGTAGTTGTTTGTTGAACCTCGTGGCAAACAGGTCTAGGCAAGGGGATCCTATTTCCCTTATGTTTCGAAACGCTTCTGGATGGAGCATCCATTCCGTAGGTGACGGGTGTAGTGGTCTTGAGAGAGCGTCTGCTAGTACGTTCTTGGCTCCGGGTATGTGACACGCCTTTATCCAGATGTTTGCTTCCTGTGTGATCTGGAACAACTGGAATGTGAGCTGCAATAGGCTTGGACACCTTGTGGATCCTTGTCGGTTTATGGAGAATGCCACTGTAGAGTTGTCCGTGTGGATCATCAGCATTTAGTTGTTCAGCAAGCTCGACCATAGTTGTAAGGCGTTGATCACTGCTTTCATCTCTAGCAGATTGATGTGAAGCTGCTGTTCTATTTTGGACCACCTTCCCGACGCCACTTGATCGTTGAGATGCGCACCCCATCCTTATATCGAGGCGTCTGCGTAAAGATGTGTGTCGAAGGTCGGCTCTTGTAAATAGGTCCCTTCACAAACATTCGACCTGTGTGTCCACCACAGTAGATACCTCTTGAGGATTTCCGGCAGCAAGATAGGGTCGACGCTGTGTAAATGTTTTAACAGGAACCGTTGCAGCGGTCTTAGTTGTAACCTTCCTATGCAAGTCTTGCGCCAAGGTTAGCAGACCGAGTAGAACTTGCCATGATCGTAGTGTTAACGGAGAGACGACTGCTGGCGGAATCATGGTTTGTATCTTGACCCAACGATCCTCTGGGACGGCAATACGATTCTGTGTTGTGATAAACCTTATCCCCAGGAATTGTAGATCTTGTTTTGGTTCCAACTCTGACTTCATAAGGTTCACCAACCACCCTGTTTGAGTGAGCAACTTGATTGCGAAGTTCAGTTGTAGTTTGAGTAGACTGGCATCTTGGTGAACCTGAATTCCGTCATCCAAGTAGAAGGCATTGCGTAGACCTCGATGATGTAGGTATGCGACTATAGGCTTGGTTATTCGTGTGAATAGCCACAGAGCCGAAGATATTCCAAATGGTAGGACATTCCATTGGAAGTGCTGCCCTCTAGGAATCGTAGATACTTTCTTGATTCCTGATGTATCGGGATGTGAAGGTACGCATCCTGCAAGTTGATGCTGGCCATGTAATCTGCTGGACAGATGAGTAGTTTGAGTTGAGGTAGGTGGATCATTCTGAACCTCTCTGGTTTTAGTAAGGAGTCTTTGTTGAATTTGCGCATGTTGTAAATCAGTCTGAACTTCTCCTTGGAGTTCTTCTTGGGTACTAGAAAAGTTGGGGAATAGAAGTGAGATGATTCTGATCTATTATCTCTACAGCATCTTTCATCAGTAGTGCGTTGATGGCTTCTTGTAATTTGTCTGCCTGTTCCTCTGCATAGTTAGCGGAGGTGTGGCTCTTAGTTGTACTTTGTATCCTTCTCTTATTACTTGAGAGATGTAGTCATCCTCTAGTATTCCCCAATTCTTCCAGTACCCTTGTAGACGTCAACCCACTGTCAACAGTTTTACAGGAACGGCTGGGGGTGGAAGACTCCAGTCGTTCCGAACCTTGATATCAATGTCTAGTGCCTCTGGAACCTCTGGGAACCCTCTGTAATTTCCGGATGGGCGACGAAAAGATCCTTTGCCGCCTCTGAAGCTGGAGTACTTCTTGTGCTTTGCCTTCTGTATTCCGGAATATTTGGACTTGTTGTTATACTTTTGAGAAGTATGGCGGATGACGTTGGCCAGAGTATCTATGGTTTTAATCATCATAACCTCTCTGGTATCATGCGTAGCTTCCTTAGCTGCATCGTCTATTAGACCTCCAAATATAGTAGGCCTCCCATGGAGCTCTTATTAGTGGTTGGGTGAATCTAATCATTCCAAGAGCAGGAAGCCAGTAGCCCCTGTCTGCGTAGTAAGGTCCCGCAGATATAGATGTGAGATGGTCCGACAAAAAGTATTGATCCTTCTTTTGTGTAATGAGGGCTGAGTATATCATCTTATCCTCTTCCGAAGTTGAATTCTGGAATTTATTTATCAATGCTTCATTGATGGCTCTAGACCTGGCCAACCCGAAGAAGGATCTCCTTGTAGCAGTATCAAGTTGAGATAGCTTTTTGTCTTCCACTTTATACATCTTATTCCGGGATTTATTCACAAGTTTGATGTTATCCTCCCAATCAGGCTGCCTTAGTAAATGGATCCATATAGTGTAGGGGGAATCTCTTCATATTAAATGATGGTAGGTGCTGACTCTGATACTTGGAAGCTTTCGCGAAAGCTGTGAGTAGGTTGGAGGGTACATTGGATATAGGTTCAATCGGAGGGATTGTGACGGAGTCGATGTCATCTTTACTTCATCATACAAGTGTAGACTTCATCTTTATCCTTAGAAGGAGACTCCAAGTTCAACCCATTAGCAATCCATGCTGTAACTTCTGAGTCTGGGAAGACGAAGTCCGTTTGCAAGTCCGAAGTCTCCTGATTATTAGAGCTAGGTCTCAACAATTCATCCATCTGTGAACCTGTTTCCCTTCTCGAACCTTCATCCTCGTTTCGCGAACCTCTATCTGAAGATTCCTCCCTATGCGAACGTCTATCTTGAGAGTGTTTCTCCGCGAACCTCTATCTGTGGATACATCTCTTCGCGAACCTCTGTGAGTTGAGCTATCTCTTCGCGAACGTCTATCGTAGGGCGAACTCCTGTGATGTGAGTCTTCTCTTCGCGAAACCTCTGGCTTGGTGAGTAACTTCGCGAACGTCTGTGTGAGATATGAGATCTCGACCTAGAGCGGCTAGGTGTAGGAGCTGGATCCTTCGATGTTCTCGAACGTTGAGGGTTCGCAGAAGTAGATTTGAGAGTAGGTAAGTCATCTCTTCTATCCTCCAAGATGAAAGAGTCGTCCGACTGTGGAGACCTTCGCAAAGGTGTATCTGTTCGCCAACGTAGCCTTGAGGTGTAGTTCCAAGAAGAGTAGATTCGCGTAGGCCCGTGGGTTATCACAGGTCCGTAGGTTTTCGCACGGTGTCAGTAGATGAGAGGCTTTTCCTAGCCTTCGATTCCTACTGTAATCTATGTTCCATCATTCCCCTTGGTCGAAGTTCTGCATAGGTTGAAGCTGCTGCGGTGTAGATGAAGTGTTCGCGAACGCTGATGAGTTATGTGCCTCATCTTCACTCTGAGAAGTAAGAGGTAGTACGTCGAACAGCTGTCCTGCTGTGACTGTAGTAGGGGACGATCTCATAGTTGTAGAGGTCGACTGAGTCGCTGATCTCATAGATACTTCAGGTAGAAGTAATGGGGGTTCGTCAAAAACGTCTAGTTCGTGAGGAGGTACAATCTCTTCGTTGAAGGATTTCTGGTGCGAAGATGAGCTAGCATGCGTAGATTTGCCCTCCAATCTGGTCACAGCTGACTTCTCCTGCGTTGTAGAAGAGGATGACGTCTTTTTCTTAGTCTGAGACGGAGTCGACTGACATGTAGACGATCTCTTCCTGGCCCCCTTACCAGCAGACTGCCCCTGTAACGTACTAAACATAGCACCAGTATTATGAACATCGGCAGTAGCAAGCAACATACGGTTTGTAGGTTGATCTGCAGTTTTATCAATCGTGACTTGAGATGACTATATCACCCGATCGATGGCACCTCTATAAATATAAGACAAATATTGATTAAATTGAAGATTTGATAAATCAAAACAATAAGTACAGCGCAAGCTGGAAGAACATGGTTTTATGCATGAAGGCACAGGGGGTGAGGATCAGCCACGGATAACCTGTGCCTGCAAACACTGCAGGATTTCATGAAATGTAAACAAAGTTACATGACGATGAAAACACGACTCAAAGTCAATAATTTTTACAGAATTTTTACAAATACTACATAGTAGTTATAGCCAAATCCATATACAGCGTAATTTTGAAGAATAGGCCTAAATAAAAAAGGATATGATGCCGTATACGGGACTCCAGTGCTCGCCCAACCATCCGCTTGGGCGAAAAGGGAGAGAGTGACAAGTAAGGCAGGTCACCTGACTGGTTTGCGGGGGAAAGGGCAAAGGTAGGTAACTCGTGGGTGAGTGTATTTATACGTCCACTTCGGGAACTTCAAGGGATTCAAGTGTTCCACTACCATTCGAAAGGGAAAGGGAGATAAGCAAAAGATCATGAGTCAGGATAAGTAAAAATATGACATTTTTAATATGGCCATCATGGCAGCCCCGATTAAATCCTCTATTTCAAGACAGCTCATTTAGAGGCAAGGTAAAAATGTAAATGTTATTGACCACCTAGACAGACATGCCATAAGTTCAAATCAAGATTCAACATTTACATGAGAGATTACCTATGTTTGAGAGTTGCTCTACTGAGCTGGATACACTGATGCAGTCATCAGCAGATGGAATGTCCAGCTGTACAACACCAAAGTCTTTACATCGGAGGTAAAGACTTCCACCAGAACCACTCAGTTTCTTTTCAATGCTGTCAACTGCACTGTGAAGAAGCTGAAAACATAGCATTTGTAGGTTAGATTAATTTCTGGTAAAATCAGTAATTGTCTTGGAGGAATCATCATTGTATCACTGACCAGTTCCATATGCACTTATAATATTTTATTGCATTTTTCCACTGGGGCCGTCTTATAGATAGCTTAGTGAACCATGTTTATTACCTGCTAAGGAAGGAATAGCCAATACATTAGGGATATTGACTGTGTATTTTGGCAGTTCACGGAGGTATGAATCGAAAGACCAATGTGCAAACTAAAATAATCTAAATAGGAGATTCTTACAAAACTTTGCACATTAGTTTTTAGTGAGGTAACTCAAACTGTCCAAACACTGGTTTGCCATTCATTGAGATTTGGTCTCATTTTACTTGTTTAGCCATTTACCTTAAAAGGTGGATGTAACTTTGCTTTAACCATTCTATCAATAGACTCCTAATCTCACTGACTAGTATACATTTTGAAAAATGACTCCTTCAGGCTATGTTACAACTTGATAATCCTTGTACATGTACTATCAGAGATGTTAAACATTCAAAGACAGATGGGCAGATAACTGAACAAACACACACCATCACAAATGTCGCAGAGCTAATTTTAAAAAGGATTCGCAGGAAAAGTGATTATAAATACACATTTAAATAATTACCTTCACTTTGACCTTAGGCTATTACCAGTCTGAACATGTGGTCTGAACTATCTCAGAACTAGGGTAGATGTGGCGAGCATCATTTATACAACTACAGTCAAATCCCGATGAGTCGAATCGCTTGGGACCAAGTAATACATTCGACTTATCGATGTATTCGAGACATAGGTATGTCTATGAGTGTAGAAAAAAAGATGATCCAGTCCTAATTCCTCCACCTAAGCATTTGTTTACCTAATGATTTCCCTATCACTAATAGGGGCACCTTATCAGTTCCAGTCTGATTAGCACAGACAGTGATTTCCGTAAAATCACTAATCTGCCTTTTGAACTCACCTGTCAATGGCGGAAAGGTGTGAGCCACGCTGGTTTGTTAATTGGATCAGTTTGCTACACCAATCAACTTCTCATTGACTGACATCGGCTTATGTATACAAGATTGCTGTTGTTTGAATCTCATGGGCCCAAATTTCCTTCTCGAGTCATTGTGTGTATTTATGAGACGAATTCGTGTAACCGGTATTCAAATGATGACAACTATAACAGGGAATGGTCGGGACCGACAGGTACTTCGAGTTATGCATAATATTCGAGACACTGGCATTCGACTCATCGGGATTTGACTGTATTTCAGTTGTGACGCTTAGGATGACTTTGATAATTGACACGACTAAGCTCCAAACAAACAGATTACTGTATATATATGAGACAACTTGACATTGAGCCATATGGTTGACAGTTTTGTTGGATATCATAAAGGAACCTGTCATCTATACTCAGAAGCTAAAGTTTTTGTGAAATTTATGTCATTGGTGATCTTGTGAGAAAGAGTGTGTCAAAGAAAGCAGTTGTGGAAATTTGCTAGAAGCGTGACAAGTTTGAGAAAAATGGCCAGCAATGTTCACTTTCAAGGGGCAGATAACCAGATGCTTATCATTTTCACTCAATGCAGTCAAAGAAGTCAGAAAACAACTCTTATTCCTTGTTCTGGCATGTTTGATGTGCCACTCCTCGGGGAAAATTGACAGATGCAGAGCTCTAAGTAGGCTACAGTCTGGTACCTCATAGTATGACATTGCTCGTTGATTTAATGCCCCATAGAAACACCATTTGCCGTCAGTGCAAGGTTTTTTAGGACATTACAGATTGTACCTTTTGTGGCCACCCATTAAAAACGACCCCACTTCAAGATCAAAGGATTTGAATCACTCACTCCTTTTCAAACTGTACTATACCTGGCAACACAGGAGCATCTTCAAGAATAGTTTGACTACGTCCATGTGTTGATGGCATTCATGCTAGAAGGCCAGCCCAACAGCCAATTCAAATGCCGCAGACAACACTTGTGATGGGAACAATACCATGTGTTCTGGAAGCGAATTGTTTTGAAGGTGGGGACAACACTTGTGATGGGAACAATACCATGTGTTCTGGAAGCGAATTGTTTTGAAGGTGGGGACATTATGATCTGGGATGGGATAACAGCTGCATTAAGGATGCCAATGATTGAGACTGTGGGGAACAACTGGCAAACAAGGATAAGTTGGACCGGAGCAGAGAACGCGTTTTTGAGAAGTAGGCGGTGCACGGCAATGAGCAAACCCGTTTGGTTTGTGAAATGGAGAGCAGATGTAGGCTAATGCACGTGCAGTGTATGAAAATGAAATTGATTCCGCTCGTAGCTGCACACGCCTTGCTCATAAGACTCTAACGTCGGTGTAGCACTACACTTGATCGTGGACAACCTGGGGCCCCTTTGCTCACAATGGCAAGCGCCAGTGGGCAGCACTCAAACATGCTCAACTTATCCTTGTTTGCCAGTAATATGATATGATGACATCAAGACAAGATTTTGCAAATTGCTGTTTTATTGTGATGTTTCAACATGATAACACCAGACCACATGTTGTACCCATGGAAGTTGGAACACTTTTGATTAAAATAGAGTAATATTTACGATGTCAACTTAATCCTCAAACAACAAATTTTTGCTTGGATATGTAATGATCAGCCTTCATCAACGTTTAGTGGTCTCATTGAGCAAAGGTGTCAGGAATGCATCAATGTACATGGTGGACACACTGACCGTGTGAACTTCCTGGTGAACCACCTTTTGTGTATTTGCATATGCCAGATGTGCTTCTGTGTATACTATTAGGGCAGAGGGGTTGGAGTTATCTGGGGACAGTCACCAAACATGATTAGAGCTTCTAAGGGAGGATCATAAAAAAGAATACCCACTTTTGGAGAGGGTCATGAATAAAAATATGACAAACTTTGGGGAAAGGCAATTATTTTCAGTATATTAGTGCAACAAAACTGTCTTACATCCCTCTCACACATACCTCCACCCTTTTGTTATTTGTGAGGGATCCCAATAGATAACGAATTGGTGGTGGATTGATGAAGAATGTAATAGTCTTGAACAGTCATTTCAGGTCATGCAGTTGAGATAATCAGTAGATTTCATATTTCCATCTAATACCTACCCAAAGTTCTTCCCTTTGGTCCTTTCGAGAAGACAAAATCAGATGATGTCCTGTGACACAGAGTGTGCCCTCTACTTGGCCCTCAAATGGTCTCTTCATTATTACACCATCAACCATTGGGATCTTGATGAATTCTGCAAATTCCATTCTGTAAAAATACAGTCAACAAGTATGTCAACAGAATGAGGTGAGGTGAAATTGGGTTTTACGTTGTGCTTGAGAATATTTCGCTCATATGACGACGTGCATGCATGTGTATGTGTATGTGCGGCTGCTTGTACTAGCCCAGACTGAATCTGGTTTTATAGTGCTAGCCCACTGAGATACCATGCCGCAGTGAAGCATGAATACCCCACTCAGACACATTATGCTGACTCCGAGCCGACCAGTCCTTGTTGTACCCATTAATGCCCAGCGCCAGGCAGGGACCAACAAGTACCATATTTTAACGTATTTTGGCTTGACGCGGTCGGGGATCGAACCCGCGACCTTCTGCTCTCCGGGCGCACGCTCTAGGTTCATTCTCCACTAAACTTGCACATTAACATCATCTGACGTCTTTGTGAAGTTAAAAAAATATTTACACGATCTTTTAACATTCTGTTACATTGGAACTACAACAAAGGTGGACATAAATAAAAACATATCACAATCACTTCGTAGGAAGGGTACAAGAAACGTCTGTTAATCCCACACAATGCTGTTATGTGATTTTTCGTTTTTCTTCGACAGTGTGTATTTCAGTCAGTACACCTTTTGTTGATCAATTTGTCTATTTACAGCTGTCTGAAATGTTCTAATTTGCCACAGTATTCTAATAAATATTTATGTGTAGCCCTGAACATCATATTTTGTGTTGTATTGTGTTTTTTTTTATACCAAATTAAGTGTCTTGAAATATGTCACCAGATACGTTACGCACTTTCAAGCGTTCATCAAACTCCTCTTAACAACAACAGGACAATTAATTCTGTAGCTATTGGTAGGTCAAAACAACAGCTACATGTCCTCAAACACAAAATTACTTCACATTTTTACGAAAGTAACAATCATGATAAGATCTTTTGAAATATCGTTTGTCACTTTAGATTTTGACCAGATACGTTACCAAGTAATCGATTATAAGTCCCCATATGATGGTTATTACAAATTTGAAGGTAACGTATTTGGTTTTTTCACAGTAACGTATCTGGTAAAATAAAAATTAAAACTTTAATGTGAACATTCTATTAATTCGAAATGATTTCACTATCAATAAAAAATAATTACGTTTTGGATGTGCTGAAAATACTTAGACATAGTTATAGTAACACAGTAATGAGAAAAGAATGGTAACGTATCTGGTTTTTTATGGTAACGTATCTGGTTTTTATGGAATTAAGGTTGATTGAATGAAATGAAAAGCTATCAATCAGCCAGAACTACATAGGCATTTTAATATATCTTGTAGTATTATATTGCAGTGCCATAATGGGCAAGACACGTGCTGAAATTCAGCGTGCCTACAGAGAAAGAAAAAAGCTAAATGATGCTGACTTTTTAGAAAAAGAGAGACTAAGGCAAGTCAAATATAGAGTTCCTGTCGCAATGTTGTCAAGATCAAAGTTGAAAAGACGAAGACTTATTGATAAAGAATACTCTTCAAAGTACAGACAGAAAAAAAAGCAAGCAATGCAATGAACGTAATGAAAGACATCCAGTACAAGTTGAAGTTGTTGAAGCATCGACCTCGAATGATACTTTGAATTCAAGTGCAACTCAGTTGGATGAAGTTTCAAGTTCATCCGATCCACAACCATCAACAAGTTCACAGACAAGATCACAGATGAATCGATTGCTGGTTCAACTTCCCTTTCCTACCAAGCGTAAGGCATCTACACGCAGATCTAAATCAGTGGCAAAGTCAAGGCACGAAGTGTTGAGATTGAAATCACTGTTGAAAAAGAATCAACAAAAATCATGGCGCTTTCAAAAACGATTTGAACGATTGAAAAAAACAAGGAAAATTGAGGCTGCTTCCAGAAGCACACTAGAACTCACTCCAAAATCTAAAGCTATAGATGATATCAGGAAGTCTGGAATAAGTCCAAGATCTGTGCCTAGGTCTGTTGTGCGACAACTGAAGATTGCTAATGCCCTCATTTCCGAAATAAAGAATGCTCATGACGAAAACACTAATCAGAGACATCGATCGTCAATAAACACTGTGGTGAGTGGTCGCATTGTGAAGAAGTACAGATGCATTAGATATCTCACAAAAGTGACTGGTATAACAAGACATGAATTCCATGCATCAGGAAACAGAAAAACACTTAATGTTACAAAGAGAAAACGACTCTCAAAACTGAAATTGGATCTTGAAACAAAAGTGACAGAATTCTTAGCGAAAGACGAAATCAGCAGAGCTATGCCTGGCAAAAGAGATTTCAAGAAATGCAATGGCGAAAGAAAACAAACCAGAATCCTGAACGACTATCTGAGTATCATTCATGAAAGATTCCGAGCAGAAAACTCAGAAACAAGTATTTCACTTTCTGCATTTTGCAAAATGCGCCCAAAACACATCAAGGTGAAATCCCTTTTATCAAGAAACAAATGCCTTTGTACTAAACATCAAAATATGGCACTAAAGCTCAAATGTTTAACAAGTACCCTAGGGATAGGCATATCTCCAAACCCTGAAGTTGTAGGCAGAAATGTTTCTGAGGAACAAATGAAAGTATTGCTTTCTTCTGTTCAGGATGATATTGAAATAGAATATGAAGAGTGGAAAAGTGTTGATATTCAAGGGAAAAAGAAAATGAGAATTGTGAAGATCTGTAAACCCACAGAAGAATTTATCAAGATGATGCTTGAACATTTCAAACTTTTCTTGGAACACATTGATCGTGTTGCAAAACAATATCAATCTCTGCATGATTTAAAAGAAAACTTGCCTGAAGAACACATCATAGTCCAAATGGACTTCGCAGAAAACTTTCTGTGCCAGTCAAATGATGAAATCCAGTCTGCATATTGGAATGCAACAGCTGCAACGATTCACCCAGTTGTGATATACCACAAATCAGAAGGAGGGGTCGAGCACACAAATCTTGCCTTTGTGTCAGATGTAAATCACCACAACCCTTCGGCTGTTCTTGCCATATTACAGAAGTTGATGCCATTTATCAAAAGCAAGTTCAGCAACACTCAAATGATCCACTATTGGACAGACAGCCCCTCCTCACAATACCGAAACCGGTATATGTTCACAATCATTTCAAAACATTTGGAAATGTTTGGAATGAAAGCAAGATGGAACTTCTTTGAAGCCGGTCACGGCAAAGGACCTTGTGACGGCATCGGTGGTACTTGCAAACATATGGCAGCTCAGGCCATAAAACAGGGCAAAGCAACCATCCAAGACGGAAAGGACTTTTATGAATGGGCTTCAGAAAACGAAAAGTCAATAAAGTATCACTTTTACTCTCAACAGGATTATGAAAAAGCATCAGCTATCATTGACAATATGAGAACCAAACCTGTGAAAGGAACAATGAAGATACATGCCATCCATGCAATGGGAATGAGCAGGATCAGTGTCCGAGACACTTCTTGCTATTGTGTTGGATGTCTGTTCATGTCAAATCCATGTCAAGGGTGGTCCAACAGAACTCTGATAGAACCAGATCCAAGAACATCAGAACCAGAAGCGAACACAACAGAACAAGAACTGATAACAGCAGAACAAGAACTGATAACAGCAGGACAAGAACTGATAACAGCAGAACAAGAACTGATAACAGCAGGACAAGAACTGATAACAGCAGGACAAGAACTGATAACAGCAGAACAAGAACTGATAACAGCAGGACAGGAATCAAGAACAGCAGAACAAGAACTGATAACAGCAGGACAAGAACTGATAACAGCAGAACAAGAACTGATAACAGCAGGACAGGAATCAAGAACATCAGAACCAGAAACGACAACAGCAGAACAAGAACCAAAAACAGCAGAGCAAGAACTAGTGCCTGCACAACGTTTAGCTGAAAACTTCATACCCAAAGTTGGAGAGTTTGTAGCAGCGTCTTATGAAAGTCAGTGGTATATCCGAAAAGTCCTTGATGTAGACGAAGAAGATTCGGATGTCTTTATCATGTTCATGTCAAAGGGGGGTGTGAGGGGTAAAGTGAAATTCCAGTGGCCTTCAAAACCAGATGAAATCTGGATTCCTTTGGATGATATCATTGCATCTATCTCTAACCCATTGCCTGTAGGAAGGTCTGAAAGATACTACACCCTGACAAGCAAGGAGTTCGATTATGTCAATCAAATGTTCACAGATAAGTGAATAAACCAGATACGTTACATTCAGATTGAGGACTTTATGGTTCGTCCATTAAGATCAAAATAGTCTTAACTTCCTTTGTTGTTACAGGTCCACGACAAGGAGTTGTTTTCTAGTTATTTGTTTCGATGTTAGTGTTTTTATTGCTAGAAATGCTTAGCTCAAAACCAGGTACGTTACCATATTCGATAACAATGTTGATTATGCAAGGGCATCAGTTAGAACGATATGCATTGACATTTTAAGAAAGTTGTGATAACAAAAGACATAACTGTTATTTTAATTTAATTGTTCGTTGATTCACTTGCTTGTTCTTCATAAAAGGGATATCATTTACTTTCCCCAGATACGTTACCTTTTTCACATAATTTTGTATCGTAGAACAATATCTTCACAATGTACTTATTTTACTGGAGACAATATTCATGTTACTAAAAACTCTGTTGCACTTCAAACTGTTGTGTAAAGATTACAATATAATGTTCAGTTTTGGACTAAACAATAGTTTCAGACATGACTAGTGTATTTATATAAACTCTTTTTGAGTACTTGATACAGTGAGAACATATTGTTTTATAATATCGCGCTAGATTTTAACTAAATTTGTCTTTAGGCATATAAACTAGAGTATACAGTTTTAAAGAACACTTGACAACAACATCTTAATGTCTGTTTCACATTTTCAAGAAGCTATGTTTAAAATCACTAGGTAAAGTATCTGGTTGGTCTCAAAAGGGCGAGGTAATCTTTGTAACATTGTAACTTTGAACATATCAAACCTAGAGATCATTTATTTTGGTTTTATGACCTTCACATATCAAAGTTTGAGTTTGTGTAATAAAAACGGATATATTCCAAAAACATTTTTTGTTCATTTTTAATCTCAAATGTGCAAGTTTAGTGGAGAATAAACCTCTAACCACTATACCACGGAGGCAGTCGTCAACAGAATGAAAGCTCAATAAGCATGTGCGTGTCACTTCTGACAAAAAGTGATAACATTTTTTGAAAATTACATCGATAATGAACAAAGACATTCTCAGACACTCCAGCCCAACAGCCGAACACATAAACTTACCCAGGACTATGATGTAGATGCCACAACCATGGCAGTCTAGCTCAAATGGACACACTGCCTCAGTTTGAAATGTCAACAAAGGCAGGCAGTTCACAGTAATTTTCGACCATGTTTTAATTGTTCATGCCTTTTCAACACATTCATGATAGCATGGTTAGAATGTCCTCAGCATTCATCAACTTTCAGTGAACAATTAGAGAGTACAAACATTGTACCAAGAGTGAGATTGTCTACAATGTTGATACTAAATCCTTCATCTTTTTTAACATCCTTGATCAGCAAGGCTGCAAACCTCTTAACTTCGTAATTTCCTGGCAATAAGGTTATGTCACACATTTGTGGTGTTTGGTGCATGTTAATGTCACTAGTATATGTATGGCATAGTCCTCCTCAGCAAACCCCAAATTTACTAAATAGTCCACATGCAAGATGGACAAACGAATAAGGCGACCTAACACTGAGACAACTAATTACATATTTTACAAACTGTGGCGTCTCAGGATGTAATACTGGTTAGTGTTGTACCCTCGTGACCAGACTCATTAGGTACAGCATAGAACATCCCCTTCGGTGCGTCATCCGACAAATTCAGGCTATAAATATGTTCAGTTAGTGAAATATGTCCTATATACGTTGGCACTTGGCATATCATATGTGCTGTTTGGCATCGTCGACGACGTGACTCAAGTGAACATTAGGCCGAAGCTACAACACTATAACACATATTCCCGCCTCCTTAGAAAGGTCTCGGTCTTTTACATTATATTATACAATAGGCAAACATGAGCTGGCGGACAGGCTAAAATATTTTACCCACTTTCCAGCCTTGAATGTATACACCCTCTGCTGTCAGAATTAAGCAGTGAAAACGATTACACCCTGAAACAGCACCAGCATATATTCCTGTTTCTACTCACTGCATGTTATCATATATTCTACTATAAGATGATCAAGATGTCATTTATTTTATTGTCTGGTCCAGACTCGATTATTTACAGACCGCCATCATGTAGCAGGAATATTGCTGAGTGCAGCGTAAACAATAAACAAACAAACAAAAACACACACAAATACTACAAATGTAATTTAATAGTGCCGTTTTATAAGCAGAATAGGGCGTTGTTTTTGCTGGGTCCGATTTAGATAGCGACATGCCGTTTTGGCTTGTAACAGCGTTTTGGTGCTGATCTGTTTTTACCCTGTACTCATTCGAAAGAAGGCTGAGAAAGGTGACACACACCATCGTAACGCAACAGTGCAACACGTTGGAGCTGTTACCATTTTGTCGTATCAACCGAATCGTGATATTTGTAGTCAAAAACATAATGACTACCTTTATGGAACTTGGTTTAAACGACTGGCTGGCGAGACAGTGTGCCACTATGGGTCTTAATAAACCAACTGAAATTCAACTTAACTGTATACCACCTATTCTTGAGGGTAAGTTGCTGATCGTTTTCGAACCCGGTTTCATTCGCTCTTGATCAATTTTACCACGACTGTTTAACCCCCTGGCTGCCGAGTTTTTTTTCAGGCGCACATTTTCATACGCTTTGAAAAGTGAACGTTGTGAGAGAATTGCTCTCGCGTGGTCCTGGATCTACGTAAGCCTATAAAATTACACAGAAATGTAGAATATTAAATGTCCTATCCGTTGGTGTAAATATAAGTGCAACTACCTTGGCGGTTTGAGAAATAGACCTTGCTAAATGTTGTCCAAATTTTTGTTATGCGTTAAAAAACAGTAAATTTCTCAGCTTTTTATCGCGCACCGATAAAAGCACTGTGCTACGATTTTTTTAATGGGGCATCTTTACGGAAAGTGTAAGCGAAGAAAATACAGCCTGATATCTGAACGACATAAGTGTATATGAATTGGATTTATGTGCTTGTGCATAAAGTTATACGCTCAACATTAAAAATGACTCGCAATAAATGTCAAAAATGTATTTCTTCTATGACGTCAAACGCCGACAGAGAGGTCAGATACGTATAATGATAAGGGGGCATAACTCCGTTATGCGTAACACTAGGTCAATGTAACCGAGACCACTTGGAGAGAATTTGTTGTGGATACGGACGCTATATTTTCGTTATTTTATATTGATGGTGAACAACACTATTCCAATTCAAAGTTCCCCAATGTGAACGGATGCGCTTTGGTAGTTTCACAATTTATAACAAAAGATGACAACGTATTACATGTGAAAGCACGTAATAGCGATTTGAATGGCCCTATCCGATATATAAGTTAGTTCTTAGATTCCCATATTCTCCTGTTTGTGTAGATGTAATTTGACTAATTTTGCATCGTTATTACCAGAGTACTAGCCATATCTTCAAATGTAACGAAATTGCTGAAAATAATACAACATTTTAGTTGACGTCATCGCTTGTTATATGCATTTTGCGACGTCGAAAAAAGACGACATTGGTATGCTGATTAGTATATATATCTCACTTAATTTACATTAATTGTATAAAAGGTCTAGACTTCTATGTCAGAATTTAACACTCTTTAGACAAAACATAAAATGACTGATTTTTCCATTTAAATAGTGTCCTGAATATATCAACAATTAGACAGTTTGACAGCGTATCTGATTGTGGACAACACGCGCAACTGTTTGGCATCAATTTAACGTAAATAAAAATAATATTTCACAACACCCGAATATTTTGTTTGGGATAAGAATTTTGTTTGTTTATGGTTATGAAGCTATTTCTCTTCATAATGCATGCAATGAAAGATGCGAAAAGATAGCTTTTTATATATGGAACTATGTATTAGAATATGGATATAAGATTTGTCCGAATTAACACATGAGATGATATATATATTTTTCAACAATTTTCCTATAAGTAGTTAGAGTTTGATATCCTGTCATCACAATATTATTTAATCGAATATGAATTAAATATATTATCGAAAACAATGATAGCGAATCATAAAACGTTTCCAACAAACGCGCACCTTGCCGATCTATATGCATCATTCTTTTGTCTATAAAAGGACACAAAATTATGCAATGAACAAGACAATTCCTTTAAATATGTGTGCATATACATTTCATACCATGTATGAATCATTTTCATTAATATTATCAGTTTTGCATATAAGATTGAATTATATCACCGTTCATTAACCTGTTCATATGAAATTGCAATATTAGTCCAAATAAATTGAATATTGTACATCATAGGAACTAAAGTAGTTGCAGTTATGGCTACGTTTGATCTTCTAACACTTGTGTAAAGGTTTAGAATATGGTGTATTGCAATAAATATGTCAATTTCTTATGTAAATATGATTCAAACAATCAAAAACTTTCAAAGAATAAAACACCGTAAACCCTATATGCACGTATGATATGATATTGAACAAGGCTAAATGTAGATACTGAAGTCAGTTTCATGAAAAAGTATCCGAACTATCCGCAAAATATACATCATAATACTGACTGTCTAATCGGAAGGATATGGCGATTGTGTTTACTCTTGTTCAACCGACCTTCACCTCAAAGAAATTGCCTTATATGTAGAACAATGTTGACGTATGACATCACTACCGCTGACCGATTTCTTACAAAATGGCGGCTTTGCTGACAAGGGTACACAGGATTTTGCGAGGACCCTTCCACTGATTCAGGGATCGTTTGTACATAAATATGAGATGTAAGTAATCAGAATGATTCTGACTATCTGTGTATTGTTATATGTTTTTATCGTTTTCACTATAATGTAAGAAAAGGACAGAAATGCAGATAATTACCGTTGTCGCTTCTGCGTGATTTGGTGTCAGTCATGGCGTCCACGCTGCACGGAAACTTTGACAATTTCTTATGAATTATCAAATCATTGCATTGTATCTATTTATAATTTCCTATTTCTTGCTACGATACTCTTTCCATGTATATTCTAAAGGTATTGAGCCATTGCAAGCAATGAATAGACGGATGAATGTTGAAAAATTTCAGAAAATGCTACGCAGTGTAAAATCGAATTTGTCTTTGTTTACATTTCACACAAAAGCGCAGTCTTTCAAGCACAGCGTTCGTTTTCACACACCCAATATGTTTCGTCTCATTTTATCTAGACAGTTATTATTGGTGACACAGACCAGTTTCAAATTGATTCTAAAATGTATGGGGAATTCAGTGATGTATTTTTCGAAGCTGAATATGAAATATACGTAAATGTAATAGGCGCCTCAATACCGGCCTTCACGCTAACGTGATTTTGTAAACACTATCCAATATGGCGGAAAGCGGCTCTACGGTGTTCGTGTAAGTGCATTTTCGAAAACATCCCAACCGATTCTAGATTCATCGGCAACGTTTCAGAATTATAATTAGCTAAATCATGTAAAACTGATATCAGTGATCATATATATGTTGTTTTTGAAATTCAATACTCACAGTAATTATCCGATTTTCACATTTCAAAACATACAGCAAATAACGCTGTGAATCGCGATTTCATACTGTGTCAAAAATGTCGCCATTTTCGATGAAGCCTATTTTGAAAGGTCATTTTCAGCACTTGAGCTTTGTCTAAAATAATAGTGGATGGTATCAAGAAACAGGAAATTTCCGCAGAATTCAAACTGTGAAGTGTATTTGTGTGCGTGGGATATTTTGATTTTTATTGGACTTCAAATTGAGGGTTGAAGGGGAAGGACATATATGTCCCTGTGGCATCCAGGGGGTTAACCCCCTGGCTGCCGAGTTTTTTTTCAGGCGCACATTTCATACGCTTTGAAAAGTGAGCGTTGTCGCGAGAATTGCTCTCGCGTGGTCCTGGATCTACGTAAGGCTATAAAATTACACAGAAATGTAGAATATTAAATTTCCTATCCGTTGGTATAAATATAAGTGCAACTACCTTGGCGGTTTGAGAAATAGACCTTGCTAAATGTTGTCCAAATTTTTGTTATGCGTTAAAAAACAGTAAATTTCTCCGCTTTTTATCCCGCACCGATAAAAGCACTGTGCTACGAATTTTTTAATGGGTCATGTTTTACGGAAAGTGTGGCCGAAGAAAATACAGCCTGATATCTGAACGACATAAGTGTATATGAATTGGGTTTATCTGCTTGTGCATAACGCTATACTCAACATTAAAAATGACTCGCAATAAATGTCAAAATGTATTTTCTTCTATGACGCCAAACGACGACAGAGAGGGTTATACACGATAATTATAAGGGGCATAACTCCGTTATCGCAACACTAGGTCAATGTAACTCAGATCACTTGGCTTAAAATGTGTTGTGGATACGGACGCTATATTTTCGTTATTTTATATTCATGGTGAACCTCACTATTCCAATTCAAAGTTCCCAAATGTGAACGGATGCTTTGGTAGTTTCACAATTTATAAGAAAAGATGACAACGTATTACATGTGAAAGCACGTAATAGCGATTTGAATGGCCCTATCCGATATATAAGTTAGTTCTTAGATTCCCATATTCTCCTGTTTGTGTAGATGTAATTTGACTAATTTTGCATCGTTATTACCAGAATACTAGCCATATCTTCAAATGTAACGAAATTGCTGAAAATAATACAACATTTTAGTTGACGTCATCGCTTGTTTTGTGCATTTTGCGGCGTTGGAAAACTTATTTTACATTGGTATTCTGATTAGTATATATCTCACTTAATTTCCATTAATTGTATAAAAGGTCTAGACTTCTATGTCAGAATTTAACACCCTTTAGACAAAACATAAAATGAATGATTTTCTTTTAAATAGTGTCCTGAATATATCAACAATTAGACAGTTTGACAGCGTATCTTATTGTGACCAACACGCGCACCTGTTTGACATCAATTTAACGTAAATAAAAATAATATTTCACAACACCCGGAAATTTTGTTTGGGATAAGAATTTTGTTTCTTTATGATTATGAACCTATTTCTCTTCATACGTATGCAATGAAAGATGCATAAAGATAGCTTTTTATGTATGGAATTATATATTAGAATATGGATATAAGATTTGTGCGAATTAACACGTGAGATGGTATATATATTTTTCAACAATTTTCCTATAAGTAGTTAGAGTTTGATATCCTGTCATCACAATATTATTTAATCGAATATGAATTAAATATATTATCGAAAACAATGATAGAGAGTCATTAAACGTTGCCAACAAACGCGCACCTTGCCGATCTATATGCATCATTCTTTTGTCTATAAAACGACACACAATTATGCAATGAACAAGACAATTCCTTTAAATATGTGTGCATGTAAATTTCATACCATATATAAATCATTGTCATTAATATTATCAGTTTTGCATATAAGGTTGATTTATATCACCGTTCATTAACCTGTTCATATGAAATTGCAATATTAGTCCAAATAAATTGAATATTGTACATCATAAGAACTAAAGTAATTGCAGTTATGGCTACGTTTGATCTT